GGTGTTGGCTATTGATGGTTGCTTTCTGATGGGAAAGTATGGAGGTACATTGTTGGTGGCCACTACACATGACAGCGAGAATCACACATATCTTGTTGCATGGTGTGTGGTTGACTCTGAGAATGACGAGTCGTGGACTTGGTTTTTTCAACAATTACGTACGATAGTGCCTGACAGTGACGAGTTGTGCATAATATCCGATAGGCATAACTCTATAAAGAAGGGGATTGCCACTATTTATCATCAAGTATATCACAAATTCTGTATGAGGCACCTTGGTGAGAACATAAAACAAAAGTTTAAGTGTGCTGGCCTCCTTCAAACATACTATATGGCAAAAAAAGCTTATCGGGTTGATGAGTTCGAGGAGCACTTCTAGCAAATCCGGATCAAGGATGATAGAGTTGCTAAGTATCTTGAGCATGATGTTGGTTTCGAGCGATGGAGTAGAGCTTACTTTCCTGGAAGAAGGTTTGACGACATGACCACGAATATAGCGGAGTCCATAAATTCGAAGTTGTTAACAGAAAGAGAGTTTCCAATAGTTGCACTTTTTGATGCAATCTAGAGGACATTGTCACGGTGGTTCCATGAGCGTCGTACGAAGTCAGATAATTTTACTACAACCTTTGTTCCGTCAGTTGAAAAATTATTGCGAGAATGTATGGAACTGTCAAATGCATTGTTTGCCTATCCTCTTAATGCTCAAGAGTTCACTATGCGCGGCTATGGTCCGGATGCCCTAGTTAACCTTGTTAGTAAAACTTGCAGTTGTAAAGTGCTTGACATTCAACGTTTACCTTGTCCTCATGCACTAGCAGCACTGAAACACCAACGGAANCTTTAGCGAAGTTGGTGGGGTTGAATCTGTTTGAATTCTGTAGGACAAGTTCACTGGAAAGTCAAAGGTATGACTCACTTTCTCTCACTCATTATTTGTCAATGTTCTTTGTGCTTTATGCTTCAAATGAAAAAGAGGAAGCTATCCACTAGACCTTCCATGTGCACATTAGTCTTATAGTCAAATCCATATTTAACATTGTCGGACCTTTAAACTTGAACATATGTATGCATAATGTGGATTGTACCATAGAAATTAGCCCTAAGAGACTAATTTTAATGAGACTGGGGGATCAGCATGGCTGATGCTTCAGGGAGATTGAAACTGGTAAATGTAGTGTATTCTCTTTGATCATATTTCTCGAGGGTGCTCATTGAAACTTCAATTTGATTTCTTCCTTTCATGCTGTCAATCAATTAAGATGAACGTCCTTTCTAAAAATGATTATGCACTCTCAAATAAACCTATAGCAGGGTTGAATTCCATAATTATGATAAAATTGCTTAATTTTCTAGGTATAAAGAGTCCAATTGGCTAAGAGCATATTTTTTTCATTTTGATAGCAAGTGATATGCTTAGGAGACCCAGCCATAGTCCTATACAGATTTACCCATATTCTAGCTTGCCTTTAACTATAGAGCATCTGTCTGGGACCGTTGCATACTAATTTATAATATCCTCTGATCGATTTTTGAAGGGCCTGGTATATGTGGATTTTGCCAATGCACACCTTGCTGCAGCTGTAGGAGAGAACAAAAAATGTTTCTTGGGAAGAAGATAAGCATTGCAAGATTAAATCCGAAGCAAAAGAGAAAGGATTCTGCTAGTCATGGGGCCTTTGGAGAACATGGTAGGCTAAGTGGAATTATGTTTTATCTTTGTTATTACTTGTGTGTGTGTGTTTGTGTCCAATGCAATCTATAGACATTTGTTATTACTTCTACATTTCATTTTCTTACTCCTCTGGGTTAAATGGCAGCGCAAAGTAGTAATCAGACTTTTAGGGAGTCTAAAGCGCCACACTTTGGTGCTAATAAACGTAGTGATAACATTCATTTGAAGGGGAGGAATACATTTGCAATGCCAAGGAACGTCAGACCACTTGGTGTCCCCTCAACAAATTCAAAAGCCGGGGAAGTGGAAGATGGGAAGCCGAAGTCACATAATGAGTTCAGAGAAATGATCCTTAAGAAGTGAGGTTTGTTCCTGAGGTTATATGTTACATGTTAACTAGAATAGCACAGTAATTGACAAACTTCTCTTTCTTATAAAAAACATAAGGTTTTACCTTAATATGTTTCTGTAAACACAATTATGACAAACGATACCTGTTTGAGGACCAAAATTATATATCAATACCCTTCTTGTAAATTTTCTTCTAGATATGTCATATTCATACCCATTTTATTCAAAAAGGGTAAAGTTCTAATATGTTTCCTGTGAAACACTTATTTCATCCAATTTGTGATGAGGATAACCTCAATACCTTACCCCAAGATTTAGAGAAATTTTAGTCAATTAGATGGCGATCAAGTTCCTTTTTATGTGACAAATGACCAATGGTATAGGATCAAACAAGATCATGAAAACTATTATGGGTTGGTGGTCTATTCTTGGTATAAAATAACATTGAATACTCACAGTGCAACTGTTAGGTTCTATGCTATTCTGTACCTATTGATTCTATTCTAGCGGAGAATCCATTTTACTATTTATCATAGATGAAAATCCTAATGCAGAAAGATGGACCACTAGAGCACTATTGAGTTTGTGTATTGAAACAGCAATGGCCTTGCATCTCATGATTGTGGAAAATGTGAAAAAATGTCTTTGGTCTGGAAAATGTCTGAGGAAGAATATGAAGAATATCATCAGTATGCTCGCCCGATTAAAATTTCCGCACAGATATATTCATTTTTATTGGCTATTTTGATTGAATATCCATATCTTATATGATTATGTTTGTTTCACTTAGATTCTTCATGATTCTATTGGATACTTTCATAAAATTTATCGTGGAATCGAGAATGGGGTTTTCGCTTTGTACATGTTAGATCATGATTTAGTACCAATCTTCAAAAAAGATCTAATTGTTTCACTTTCTATTTTCGGAATGGAATATTTACATAATCCCCATGAATGGAATTAAACGTTATTTCGTGGTATTTGTATGATATTTTTTCTTAATTTTAAGCGAGTACTTGAGAGGGTTTAAGTGATTTATGAATTATGTTTCATTTTTCATTTCTTTTATGTACCAAGTCACTAAGTGTGAGATTCCCCCTGGCGACCATTATTAACTTGTTCTCCCATGGGCTCTTTCCCATGTCGCCTCTTGGAATCAGCTTGTGTTCTAACTTCACGCCCATGAGTCTTATATTTGGACTTTGCTAACCCTTTTTTCATATTTGGAAGGGGTATTTATACAAGTTTACACCAAAGGAATTAGAGAGAAATCCGGGATTGCCATCAGACTTGGTAAGCGATTTCGTGATTTTAGTGATTGCGCGCTAGGATCGCGCAAATATTGATTCGTTCTTATCCCTCCCGAGATGTTTGAGATAAGGCTTATCCTTTAGTCTGTCGAACAATTGTATTGGATGGTAACGACGAGTAGAGATGGGCATTTGGGACGGGGCCCAAAAGCCCAGCCCCGAAACCCAGTCCTAGGAGGCCTGGTCCTAAAACGGGACCAGGCCTAAGGAGGAGGGCTAGACCCTCCATTGGGCCCTCCTCCTAGTCCCAGGCCCGGGCCCAAAACTTTTTTGATTTTTTCAATATAGTCCCCTACATAATTACATAAAACCCCCTGCTAATTTTAAAATAAACATAAATTACGAGGGTTAAAATAAAATTTTACAAAATTAATAAAAAAAAGAAAAAAGAAAAAAAGTTTTAATATTATATATATATTTTTTTAACCGTTTGCTAGCAACGGCCACATGCCCAACGGTTATAATATAAATTATAACCTTTCTTTTTTTTTCATCCCCCCTCTAAAACAACTATATTACAAATAACTCTAAAATCTTTCATTTTTTCCATGCCAATCAATCTCTCCACTCCAACTCTCCAATCAATTTCTCATTTAATTTATATTTATAATTTATTCATATTATTTATTTATATTATTTGATTTTTTTCTATTTTTCAATATCATCATAATTTCATATTATTATTTAATTTCTTTTCATTTTAATTATTTATTATTTTATCATAAATTTATAATGAAAAGAAATTAAATAATAATATGAAATTATGATGATATTGAAAAATAGAAAAAAATCAAATAATATAAATAAATAATATGAATAAATTATAAATATAAATTAAATGAGAAATTGATTGGAGAGTTGGAGTGAAGAGATTGATTGGCATATAATGACTTCCCCAAATGAGTTTTACGTTCCATCCACCGAAGAAATGGAAGGCTTTTAATCCATTTTCACCATTTCCTCTAGAGGAAGCAGCTGCAATTCCACAACCATATTCGGTCGGGACGAGGTGTAGCCAAAAACATGCGAGCTGCGAGTCAACGGGCACGGGCATAGCCCAACCCCCCGATCGTCAAAGAGGGTCATGTTCGATGTATGACGATACTTCACCAAATCAAAACGGCCAAAGACAAATGGGGAGGGGGAAGAATCGTGTGGGATATGTAATTTCTGTGGAACCATTATTGGCGCTGAGAAGGGGACTTTGACGATGCGACGACACGTGGAAAAAAAGCACCCCCAAATAATATAGTTGCCCGATGCATCTTCAAGCGGATCAGGTAGACAAATTCAAACTCAACTTAATTTTAATCCACNTCCAAGATGGCTTTTGCTAATTGCTAGATTGTTACCTTTGTTAATTGTTTTGTCATGGAATAGTGTCCTTTACTAAAAAATTTCTCATTCACCATTAGAGTTGCATGCATGGAAGATATCTTTATGGATCTGTGAATTTATAAAATTTGCATGTCATATTCAACTGGTACATTGTTGTTATATAATGGATGTTTTCAATATTTGTGTTTATAAACAATTAGCCTGATGTCTCTTTAGTGTACCGTCGAAATTGCAGGCCTTGTATGATTGGATGTATTATATATACTTGAATACTTAACTGTGAAGTTACATACTTTCAGCAGGCGTCAGATTACTTATCTCAAAAGATGAAGAATACAGATGGTTTGCTGCATTTGTACGCTTATTGGGCTCATTTGGAGCTAAATTTGGGAAAAGATCAAGCTGCAGCTGGTGGCTTTTGGGAGAGCCTGGTTTGGCCCATTCATCTCTTTCTCTTTCTTATCCTGTACAGTTCAATATGATTGATTTATGATTCATCTTTGTATTTTCTCCGTATAACTTGCTTTTTGTCTGTGCAGCGGGTCAATGTTGGAAGCCTGGCAAGGTTATATAGCTATGGAAATTGAATTGGGACATTTAAATGAAGCTAGGTCCATCTACAGGAGATGCTACAGTAAAAGATTTAGTGGGACAGGTTCAGAGGTATAATTCTTTTTACATTACTTGCTTTCAATTATTCTAGATTGATTTATGGACAGGATTTGAATTTGAAAGTTTTTAAACTGGTTTTTTCCTCCTAATTTTTTATTTTTTGAAAATTGTTGCTTTTAGTAATATACGATGCAGCTTTATTTAATTAATTGATATTTGTCATCTGCAATGCAAACATTTCTATCTTTATTCTCTTTTTGTTGCTGATTTGAAACCAGACAAATGGCTTAAGTCAAGGTTGTTGAAATGTTTTTTATCAAGGAGGGCAATTTATGGAGATCTTTTGAACTCTTAACATAGAATCATGCTCTGCCGCTGAGAATATTTTTAGAGAGTAGCCTTGCAATAGGTCAACCTATTACTCGGGCAGCAGAATCACAATGGTTTAATATGTCATTTTGAATAATTTTTCCAAATCATACGTAAATGATATATGACGGTATCTCTGGGGATCATGCTAGTTGAAAATCCATGACGTTTATTTTTTTAACTTCAAACTTTAGAGTTACTGATACTCTGATGAAATTGTGGCATATGTGAAGCAATCACATTTAAACCATAGGTTGCAGAGTAGTTTTTGAAACACAATAGGCTGATATCTTTTTCCACTTGCTTATTTTTTCCAATATGTTTTGAGGAAAAGTTTCTTAATTCAAGCTTTACTTTCCGAGTTTCATGTCAAAATATGCTATAGGCTAAATAAAACTTATTGATGTAAATAATTTATATGACCATCATAAAGTCATCTAAGTTTTCTCTTTTCTATGATCAATTTAGGGTTTAGTTTGTAAAGTTAACCTTGTTATTTTCATTATCTTGATTGACCTTACTATATTTAATCGGATTGTTTCCCAACTCTCTGCTCCCGCCGCTCCCATTCATATTATATGATCTCATTGATGATCTCACACATCATCTAATGTTACCGACATTCTTGTTCTGATTTTATGATATGAAAATATTGTTTTGGGTCCAAACTCTAGGGTGACTTTCTTCAATTGTTATGTACTGCCTTTTGGATTTGTTGATATATTCTTTCCTAAAAAACAGAGTTATTCGGACATATGCCACAAAGGTTGCGTTTTGAGAGAGAACAAGGGACACTTGAAGATTTTGACTACGCGCACAGAAGGTACACATTCCTGCTGCAGTTTTAATTTATTATTTTAAGTGCCAATTAATCACGTATTCTTTTTTCAGTCCAATGTGTATGATGCATTTGCATTGTTATGAGAATTAGTATGTATAGATTTATTAAAAAAAAATTGAAGTGTTTAACTAATGAATTTTAGCTGGTTGCGATGTCCACCTTATCTAGTAACAATATGTGTTTGACTAAAATGTGCCACTTAGCAGTTGTCTTTGATGACTCAAAAGATGTGCTTGTAAATGAGTGTGGTTATGTGCCTCTGTACATTTATGAACTCTTTGCTTCTCTCTTGTCAGAGCCTAAATACTACTGGTGGATCATGCCTATCTGTTTAAATTTTTAGTTTAAGTGATAACTTAATAAAGTATTGTAGCAAGGTGGTCCACACAGTCTTGTGTTTAAATCTTTATGAGATTTGGGCCAGTTTTGTTTGTGATTAAAAAATAATTTTCAAAAACTAAGGTACAATTAAAAGTTTTATCTCAATATTTTAAATACTTAAATATGTTTGATATTTAAAAATTGTTTTGAAGTTAAAAACTATATAAAGACTAAGAAATGATATTTTTCTTGTTTTCTAATTTTACACTAATTTTTAGGATTATATGCAAAAACATTGTTTTGAAAACATTTCAACTTATTTTAACAAAAACGTAGTTTCATAAAATTCTTTATGGTCCTTGTTTTCGAAAATAAAACACTATTTAAAATTTATATCAAATAGGCTCTTATTTAGATTTAAATTGTATTTTTTTTGTTTATATTATGGTTGTGATTGTGGGCGTTTAGCGACGAGATTATGTTAAATTTTAAGTATGTTGTTGTGGATGCGTAACTATCAATTTAAGCTTTTAAATCAAGTTGTTACGTAACATTTTTAAAGATGTCTGAATTAGATACATTTGCTTAGTATTTATTGAATGTATGCAATCCTTGCTATTTTAATTCAATGCGTAAAGATGCTTGTCTGGTCCCTTTCTCAGGTTATGCCCCGCTTGGAAGAGCTGCAATTATTTAGGTTACAGCAGGAAGCCAAATCTGTTCTTGAACTAATAGATCAGAAAGAGAAGTCACATAAGAAAAGTGTAATGGAAAGAGAAAAACAGATTCGAACTGACTGACGAACGGTCTTTAGCTAAGCGGCAGAAAATACGCCTAAAACCCAAACAAAAGTGCGGAAAGAAAAGGGACGAGCACAGAACTTAGCTAAAGAAAACGAAGTAGAAGCAAAACCCAAGTTTGAAGAGCATCCAATGACCAGCACATCAAAGACTCCACCAGTGGAAGAGCCAAAGGAGTATGTATGCATTTTATCAAACCTTAACTTCAGGGCAAGTAGAGATTCTCTCGCACTTCAGAGAGAGTTGCTTTATTCCTTTTTACGCGGACAAACAAATACAGAGAGATAATTTGATGTTTAAATTTTTTTTGCAACTTATGAAGATCTGAAAAAAATCCTTTAGCGAAGTTGGTGGGGTTGAATCTGTTTGAATTCTGTAGGACAAGTCCACTAGAAAGTCAAGGGTATGACTCTCTCCTCTCACTCATTATTTGTCAATGGTCTTTGTGTTTATGCTTCAAATGAAAAAGAGGAAGCATCCACTGACTTCCATGTGCACATTAGTCTTATAGTCAAATCATATTTAACATTGTCGGACCTTTAAACTTGAACATATGTATGCATAATTGGATTGTACCATAGAAATTAGCCCTAAGAGACTAATTTTAATGAGACTGGGGGATCAGCATGGTGTGCTTCAGGGAGATTGAAACTGGTAAATGTAGTGTATTCTCTTTGATCATATTCTCGAGGGTGCTCATTGAAACTTCAATTTGATTTCTTCCTTTCATGCTGTCAATCAATAAGATGAACGTCCTTTCTAAAAATGATATGCACTCTCAAATAAACCTATCGAGGGTTGAATTCCATAATTATGATAAATTGCTTAATTTTCTAGGTATAAAGAGTCCAATTGGTAAGAGCATATTTTTTTCATTTTGATAGCAAGTGATATGCTTAGGAGACCCCGCCATAGTCCTATACAGATTTACCCATATTCTAGCTTGCCTTTAACTATAGAGCATCTGTCTGGGACCGTTGCATACTAATTTATAATCCTCTGATCGATTTTTGAAGGGCTGGTATATGTGGATTTTGCCAATGCACAACCTTGCTGCAGCTGTAGGAGAGAACAAAAAATGTTTCTTGGGAAGAAGATAAGCATTGCAAGATTAAATCCGAAGCAAAGAGAAAGGATTCTGCTAGTCATGGGGCCTTTGGAGAACATGGTAGGCTAAGTGGAATTATGTTTTATCTTTGTTATTACTGTGTGTGTGTGTTTGTGTCCAATGCGATCTATAGACGTTTGTTATTACTTCTACATTTCATTTTCTTACTCCTCTGGTTTAATGGCAGCGCAAAGTAGTAATCAGACTTTTAGGGAGTCTAAAGCGCCACACTTTGGTGCTAATAAACGTAGTGATAACATTCATTTGAAGGGGAGGAATACATTGCATGCCAAGGAACGTCAGACCACTTGGTGTCCCCTCAACAAATTCAAAAGCCGGGGAAGTGGAAGATGGGAAGCCGAAGTCACATAATGAGTTCAGAGAAATGATCCTTAAGAAGTGAGGTTTGTTCCTGAGGTTATATGTTACATGTTAACTAGAATAGCCAGTAATTGACAAACTTCTCTTTCTTGTGAAAAACATAAGGTTTTCCTTAATTTGTTCTGTAAACACAATTATGACAAACGATAATTTGAGGACCAAAATTATATATCAATACCCTTCTTGTAAATTTTCTTTAGATATGTCATATTCATACCCATTTATTCAAAAAGGGTAAAGTTCTAATATGTTTCCTGTGAAACACTTATTTCATCCAATTTGGATGAGGATAACCTCAATACCTTACCCCAAGATTTAGAGAAATTTTAGTCAATTAGATGGCGATCAAGTTCCTTTTTATGTGACAAATGACCAATGGTATAGGATCCAACAGATCATGAAAACTATTATGGGTTGGTGGTCTATTTGGTTTAATAACATTGAATACTCACAGTGCAACTGTTAGGTTCTATGCTTTTCTGTACTATTGATTCTATTCTAGCGGAGAATCCATTTACTATTTTTCATAGATGAAAATCCTAATGCAGAAAGATGGACCACTAGAGCACTATTGGTTTGTGTATTGAAAAGCAATGGCCTTGCATCTCATGATTGTGGAAAATGTGAAAAAATGTCTTGGTCTGGAAAATGTCTGAGGAAGAATATGAAGAATATTATCAGTATGCTCGCCCGATTAAAATTTCCGCACAGATATATTCATTTTATTGGCTATTTTGATTGAATATCCATATCTTATATGATTATGTTTGTTTCACTTAGATTCTTCATGATTCTATTGGATACTTTCATAAAATTTATCGGGGAATCGAGAATGGGGTTTTCGCTTTGTACATGTAGATCATGATTTAGTACCAATCTTCAAAAAAGATCTAATTGTTTCACTTTCTATTTTCGGAATGGAATATTTACATAATCCCCATGAATGGAATTAAACGTTATTTCGTGGTTTTGTTGATATTTTTCTTAATTTTAAGGAGTACTTGAGAGGGTTTAAGTGATTTATGATTATGTTTCATTTTTCATTTCTTTTATGTACCAAGTCACTAAGTGTGAGATTCCCCCTGGCGACCATATTAACTTGTTCTCCCATGGGCTCTTTCCCATGTCGCCTCTTGGAATCAGCTTGTGTTCTAACTTCACGCCATGAGTCTTATATTTGGACTTTGCTAACCCTTTTCATATTTGGAAGGGGTATTTATACAAGTTTACA